TATATATATATATATATATATATATATATATATATATATATATATATATATATATATATACAGGGCTGATAGTGGAAAAAATTCCTGAGCCTGAACTTTTTTTCCTTGCCCCTGAGGTGAGTAGGGGTGGGGGTACTATGTATGCAACGCACTTTTAACACATAACTTGTGGGCCCCTGGGCCCAAATATATTTACAGGCTATGTGTAACCCTGATCATCATTATTGTCAAGTGGCTCTTTTTAGACACATGCCAGTAATGTCAGTGACACATGCCAGTGTCAGTGATCTTGTGACATGTGCCAGTAGGTGTCCGTATAAGCACGTTATAAGCACATTAATCTTATAAGTCTCTTTGCTTTAATATTTAAAAATCATTAGGCAAATGACACCTGTTATCTTACATGCATATATGTTATGAGTTTTCAACATGCATTTTATTATAACTTTTTAAAGGATATTATTTAAAATACCTTAAAATGAAAATAAGTTAAATAATAAAATAAATGAATGAATTAAAAACATAGAGAAGTCCATATTGTAGGGAACAAAGAAACTGCCAGGATGTAATAATATACAGTACAACAGATAAGTGTAACCCCTCCCATACATAAGCATGCCACAATAAATTTGACTGACATGTACTGTCAAATGACTATATTACGTACGGAAGTATGACTACGAATACATAAAATAAATGCGTTTAAATTAAAACATCGTGGAGTAGCTCAGCAAATAAACTAACTTGCGACGCGATAAATTAGGTTAAATGTCGCTTAATGATTAAATATGGTTTTGCTCGTGTTAATTAATGTCATAAGCTTCGCCGGGTGTCGATGTCACTGCAGTGACATGCAGCGCGACACTCTGAGTGACACAGGTCACTACACATGCCACTAGCGAGTGACACAAGACAGTGGAAAAACGGACATGCCACCGGAAGTGTCACTACAGTGGCATGTGCCAGTGTCATCTGTACGTCAGATGTCGTGTCACTCCATGTTAAAACTGCTACTGTGAATCCGCGTTCAAGCGCACACAATAAGCTAAAACTCGCCCCAAGCACCGGCAAAAACAAATAACAATGAATGTGTCGAGGAAAGAGTAAGGACATATCTTAATTATTTATGAATAAACCTATTCTGAGTCAGTGTCGCAAAGATCCTGACTGGCAATCTCCTCTTGGACTCGCCTTTAGAAATTCATCTTTACGGATTACATGAAGGAGTTTTTTTGTTTTCGATTTGTTTTATTTCGTTAAGTAATAATTTAAAGCTTTCTATAAATATATTTATTATGTCTGTGAGGCATATACATTTTGCTTCATTTTGTTAAGCGCTCCTGTTCAAAAACCAGACGACAGAAAGCGCATAATTTTGGTTTTCTTTATTTTATAAAAACGCTGTAACGTTTTTTGATGTATTACTCGTACTTTGTGAGCAAAAATGACGGATAACTTTAAATTGCTCCCACTGAAAAAATGCAAGTGATTGCTCTGGCGCCTCGATGTCCTGCAAGCTTTTTATAAGCAAACTATGCGCCTAATAGCACACATTCTTTAACGTTTAAGCTACCATTGTTTTATACTTGAACTGTTTTATATCTTTTATTTTAGGCAAGTCGTGATGATCTGAGAAGGCAAACTGATCAAACAGACAATGATGGTCTTCCGCTGGGCGCTGTTCGTTAAAAAAAAAACTTATTTTTAACGAATAAAAAATGCTCCAAACGTTTTTCTAAATAAGCCGAATAAAAAACGAAACTAAATATTAACACTTTGCCATTAGGCTACATACAAAACTGAACTCTTTCATAGCTGAAACACTAAGTTGTTTAAGGAGAAGAGGGAAATATATTTTTGTCCCGTCTATTTCTTCACCGTTATTTCGAGAATAAACCCAGCGTAAATATGCAGATGTCATTCCCAAAACATATCAGCGTATATGTGCCGAAAACGAAAGTTTCATACAAATTCTGAATGGATTATAGCCTGGAAAGTGCAAAGCACGCTCCTCTTATTATCACTAAAAAGCGTCACTAATCTTAGTTCATATAGATCTCACAAAGATCTGTTATAATTTATAAAGCTCTCTAAATTACACAATTAATCAGTAGCAGTGAGTGAATTATGTGAATCTAGAGAAATGACAGATCAATATCCGTGAACCTGATTTTTTTCCCCGCAGCCACAGTACGCCGGAAATCCGGCGTGGTGCCGGAACGCTATCACCCCTGTATATATATATATATATATATATATATATATATATATATATATATATATTTATTTATTTTATTTGTTAATAATTTTTTATTTAACATTTTTTGTTAACATTTCAAAAAACCACAGTGTTATATATTTACTAACTTTTTTACTTGCATTATCCCAAATGTTTCTAAGAATGTTCAAATCCAAAGAAATAGGCAATTTTAACTAATGATATGGATTGTGTTGCCATTCTAATGACATCACGCATTCTCTATTTTCGATTTGTTATATAAATAACAAGGGAAAAAAGTTCATGATTTCAGCCTTACTCTGCTACATACTACCATGATAAGTTCTCAATAGTTAAGGTCTTCCAAAAACATGATTTCTGTAGGAGTGCCTTAGGTTGTATTGAAGTTAACGAGTCCTATGATTTCACAAGGTCACGACGTCATCAAACTATGCCTTTGTTTGTTGTGAATGCACACCCTCTAGTGGTGAAAAGTACATACTGTGTGCCTTTAATGTTTTTCTCTGTCTTTGTTTGGAGACTTAGGACTTACACTAGGGTAAAATAAAGTATTTGTAAAGTATTCATCCCAAATGACTTAAAATAATATGAAACAATACAACTAAAGCAATCTCCACTTTACTGAGTGAGAGCGCTTCTCTTCTGTTAAACTGAACAGTTGCATCATTAAATACAGAAGTGTGCTCAGAAACGAAAGGTAAAGATGCAGTGTGAGTGCAGACTGTGAGGGGAGAGGAAAGGGTGCACCATCGCTCTTCGGCATAGTCTCCTAGTGCGAGTATGCACTAAAATGTAATGAATGTAAAGTAAAATGTAAAAATCCAATCCCAACTTCTATTTCATGCCAACTTTAAGCCTGTGGGACAGTAATAAAGTTTTGTTTTAGTCGCTGAGAAGGTGTCGGTTTTATTCATACCCTAAACACTTTGTCCAGGGTGAGTTTTCCCAGCTCTGATCTCATTGTAGTCTGTGCCAGCTGAGTGACGGCATATTCCGGATCCTCCACTCCATAAGAGGCCTGCAGATAACAACACATTAGAAGAGGAAAGCCAAACATGCTGTATTTGGGCAACAAAAAACTTCAAACTTACCTTAAAAGGGTCAAGAATCCTGAGGTATAAAACTCCATCTATCTGCAGAGTCACATTGTCTGAAAGCAAAAAAACAGGTCATACTTGAGGCATCATTGATTAATCGATGATCAATCATTTGTTCCTTTATATTGATACACCTTATCAATGGTTAATTATAAATTATCAATATCATCATGATTAATGTATATAATTATTATATCCATAATCCATTCCAAACTTTTTTCAAAAGGTGTCAACAGATTAAAACACATTTGTCGCATATCGGGAAGTATTACAATCTAATAAAATTAATCATGCAATTGATTATTCATTAAAACATTAAGTTATCATAGAAAATTGTGGAAATCAGCATCCCTGGTTAAGTTCTCACATTTGAAAAATTCAAAAAGGAAGAAGTAAAAATGATCTTATTGGCTTTGACTTACCAAGACTAACAGCTGACTGCTCTGGTACATCTATAACGATCTCTTTGAGGCTCTGAACATATCTAATTCTGTCCAGGATTGGAATTAAGAAATTTAGACCCTAAAAGTGGAAAATAGCATTAGTTTAATGGCTAGACATGAACTAGACTCACTGAAGATGAACTGATGTTTGATGATAAACTCACTGGTTCCAGGATTCGGTGAAAGCGTCCCATCCTTTCCACCACCCAAGCCTCTTGCTGGGGCACGAACAGAACCACAGTGTTCATGGGAAGACTGGAAGCCCATCGCTGCTGCGCTCGGGTTCCCCATAATGCAGGTACAGTCTGCCGCGAATGCTGTACGTTGGTTTAAAGTGAAGATTATAAAATGTTTTAGAAAATTATACAATTAAATTAGAATATTGAACTAACATATTTAATATTAACAGAATAAACAGTTAAATATTATATGAAATATAGGTACGGAAACCAATTAAGAGATCACTAGAAAACACTAGTTTTACAACTTATAGTGTTGAATTTATTCTATACACTACTGATGACATTTTTTTTATTATTTCAAAATATAACCGTTATCATTTAGAGCATTTTCCTGCATAAATTAAAAGGTGCCTTTCACCAAAATAAATTCTGACCAAATTCCAGGTCAAGAGAAAATAAATCTCTGAAATGACATTTGTTGTCACCCAAAAGTTTTCAAACACGATTACCACAACTTTCATTCATGTGAGGATTATTAAATAAGTTAAATCTGAAGTTCACGTTTACAGTAACGTCTGATGAAACCTGATGAAACACGTAGCTGGACACAGACCTTCAGTGAACATCAGAAAATTTCTTGAAACATTACTTATGAGTACAAGATGTCAGTCTCTGACTTCTAAATGAACTTGAAGTATGACATGAAATATATTCGAAGCGCCAGTTAGTGAACAGACAGTCCTCCAGATCATTAATGCACTTTTGTGTCAACGTTACCTTTAAAAGCCCGCCGCCTACTCGACACACCGCCGTCCGAATCATTCTCAGATTTTAGGAAAACAGATTAACCTTTATATGCCTGAAACAAATGAATGAAGTCTTTATACTACAAGCGTGACCCTCTTACAGCCGCGGAAATCAAGTTACAACATCATGAACGCACGTCGATGACAAATTTCCGGATTTGTGAGGGAAACAAACGATTGTAATGTATGGTTCCATGGTTCCGGGAATATGTTTCTGACTGAAAGTTTAACGT